CTATCAACCTCTCGGTCTGTTTAGTCTCTTACGTTATAAATTTCCCAATTCTAGCAATCAATTATCTCCTCTCGGTCTCAAATCGATCACAAATATGCATTCATAGTGGCCGTCTACTCACACAATAATAATAAGCACAAGAAATTTATAAACGAAAGATAAACCCGAATGAAATAAATAAAAACTAAATCATAAATCAATCCGAGTACTAACAAATCCTAGAATCTAAATAAATCTAGCTTAGAAACATATTTTCAAAATAAGAAAAATAAACGTAAAGATTGAGTTCGAAAGAGGAAAAGAAAAAGAAAGAAAAAGCTTATTCGGCTCCGTCGATCCCTTTTTCCCGGGCTTTCTCCCTCGTCTTACTTGTGTTTCTAGCCTTCAAAGCTCTCCAAAGATCTGAAAATTAGGTCATGGACTCTCCAAAAACGTGCCCAAGTGTTATATATATAGTCGGGGTCGAGTCCTAGTCGAAATAGGTCGAAAATACCGAAAAAATAGGAAAAACGCGTAAAAGCAGGGTCACACGACTCGTGTCACTAGTCACACGAGTCGTGTGAAAAAGTCGAGACCAAGTTACGCGACCCGTCGGAACGACACGAGCCGTGTCCATGCCCACACGACCCGTGTGAAACTGGGGGTTCAAAACAGCATTTTTGTGGCCTGCAACTTCGTTTAACGTACTTCTCACGGATCCTGGTAAACATCCGACGTCAGAATCGAGCTCCTGGTTGTCGTGGTCAGCTTCATGTCGACGTGGATGGCGGATTCTGGCCAACTCCCGACAGCAACTTTTTCTGATGTCGAGGTAGCTTCGTCGACATGAGATGAACAAGCAGCGAAGCTCCTGCAGCTCTTCAATGGCGGACGTGCTCTTCATGCGTGAAGGAGAAGGAGAAGAAGGATATCTTTCATGGTGAAATGACCACTATACCCTCAACTAATGTGATGTTGGGCCATGATGTTTGGGCTGCATTTATGGACTATTAGGGTCTGATTTTTCGTCCCAATTAACCCAACAAAATGGGCTATAATGTTGCTCTTGTGGGGCTGTTTACTTGGGCCTTTTTCAATGCATTGCTAGTACGCCTTTTATGTCCGTTTCATGTCGTTTTCGACTCCAAAAATTAACTCGACCCTATTTCCTGTTAAAATTCAAAATAAAACACCTCATCATAGCTTAATAAATATAATTAAATAATTAATTAATTAAATAATAATTAATTAAATATAATAAATTATATATCTAATTACGACGAAACGGACACAAAAATCACTATAAAATGCACGTAAAGATGACGCATGTCAACAGTGAGAATTGCTCTGTTTGAGGCTAGTAGTAATTGAATGTAGTGATAACCTTCGAGTTTCCAGCAGCAAAACTTGAAGACAATCGGCAATCACTCGTTCACTCTGACCTTCTTCTCTTCTTCACATGGCGTCCTCCTACGAGAAATTCGAGACCCGTAGACGGAATCCAGACCCGAGATCCGCCGCCCTTTTGGTCATCGACATCCAGAATTACTTCGATTCCGTGGCCCGCCCCATTTTGTCTACCCTCAACGCTACTATCGACCTCTGTCGACGCACTTCCGTACCCATCCTCTTCACGCGCCACCGCCACAAGCCCCCTGCCGACGAGTCCACCCTCTTCGAGTGGTGGGATGGTGACCTCATCTTCGATGGCACCCTCGAGTCGCAACTCATCCCCGATTTGCACCGGGAAGAAGCCGACCCCCTCATCCTTAAGGACACTTATAGTGCCTTCATAGGTGTTTGCTGCTACTCGAATCTTTTTCGTATTTTGTAATATATATTTTTTTTTAATCGGTTTCATATTGTGTTCACTATCTCTATTTCACCATTAATCGCATTACTTACTGGGTGGGTGCTGATGAGAATGAATATAGAATTTGTTGGCTGAAAACTGTGAGCATTGGTGATTATATAATTTTTGAGGAGGCTTATAGTTACATCAGTAGCTTTTTCAAATTCGTTTATTTGATAGAACATCGAGGACGCTGATCTATTCGATAAGCATACGAAGCTAGACTCGGCTTAAATCGGTAGTTCAAGCAAGTACTAAAAATGTGTCGAAGTTAAACTACTTGAGCTCGATTTGTGCATAATTGGAGCACAATTCCGTAAGCCCTATCCGATTCAAACTGGCTTGAGATATGTTGGGCTGTGTTGGATTTTGTTGCACCCCCCCTGTTTATTGAATTTCAACACAATTGCAGATGGATGATTCCTGCTTTATTTGAATTTAGAGCAGAGTGTGAATATCTCATTTACCCCACAGCTTGGAGAAGTTGAGAGGAACTAAAAGTGGGTTGAGGTGGAGCATATGTTTATGGTTCCTTGTGAAGAATGTTGTCCATTATTTTGATTTTACAATTTGTGAATCTTAGTTGACAATTTGGCATCATACTTTCTCCAGTGTTGCCCATGGATATGGATAATAAATGATTAGAGCACATAGAACATTGGTGTTCCTTGAGCTTCTTTTTGATGAGATTTGGTATATATCAACAATGGCCATATATATATATATGTATATATATATATATATATATATATAACACTATGTTGTGCAGGTACGGGGTTGGAAGAGAGGCTGAAGGAGATGGGAGTGAAGGAGGTGATAGTGTGTGGGGTGATGACCAACTTGTGCTGTGAGACCACCGCCAGAGATGCCTTTGTTAGAGGTTTCAGGGTTTTCTTCTCCACTGATGCAACAGCAACATCATCATCTGAGTTGCATGGCGCCACTCTCATGAACTTGGCTTATGGTTTTGCTTATTTTGTTGACTGCGGCAGGCTTCGTCACGCATTTTCCAGTTCGTAGATCACGTCGTCTGTTGATGTATATACTAATTTTGTGGTAAATAATTGGCTTTTGCATTGGTCATGATACCCTTTGGATGACAAAGGAAAATAAAAAAATGAGTTCATGTTTTACATTTTGTCTCATTTGATGTATGGTTTTGGCTCATGGGGAAACTAGATGATGTATGTTTATGACCTTATGCCAGCAGGGCTAGATCAGTTGTGGTATCTTTTTAATTTTCATTATAAAGACTTTATATTATAAAAAATAAATGTAATACAAATTCGCTATTAATTATTTACCAAGCACTAGTTAATAGAATTTGTTGGTCAAAGTAGTTAAAACACTCGTACTAATACAACAATAATATATTAGTTGTCCGCTCACTTTTCACGTTGCTAAGTTGTGGCTGGAAGAAAATTTATGAATGGTCAAGAGAGTAAATTAAGAATAAATTGGAAATATAAGATTCCATTTAAATCCTTGTATATCTTTGGTAAAGATATGGCATAGAAGAATCATACATTTCATAAAGGGGCAAAAATCAGAAAGTATGGATAAATCAAGGATTTTGGCAAAAATCTGAGTAAATTTTTGCAGAGATGAATCAAATCCCCATGTATGAATTGCAATCCTGCATGATCAATTTGCATGTTTCTTGATAAGGTAAGGGATGCTGATCAATCCTCTCCAAAATAATCTGTGTAAGGGACGTTTGGGCGTTGTCAGAGGTGGTTATCGCTATCACCCAATACATTGTCGACACGTGTCCACCCAGCACATGGGGTAAATATTCTCCTGCAGCTCAGTCAGAGACC